TTGCTTCAAATGTGTCGCGTTTGTGGCCGTGCATGCTATTCTACTCTTCTTCAATGGGTTCTCAGCTCAGTCCATGGTCGAGGGTCTCCTCTACTCCCTTTACAACCTCACTCTCACCTCCTGGGGGCCTCTTTGCTTCGCGCTTTTCGAGCAGCATATTTTGGAGAAGGATCTTCTGCACCGACCTTACCTGTATCGGCTGGTAAGTGCTTGTCACGCCTTCAATATCTGCAGTTCTAAATTAACAGGCCTTTGTATGCAGTCTCCCGATCGATAAATCGATTGACTGAGTCCTCATCGGAGGCCCAGGGTTCAATCAGTTCTGACTGGCCCTGCTTCTGGCACAGGACGCGAAAGTAAACTAGCGACCTCGCTTCGTAGGTGTGTGCTTCCAGTTATGACTTTATCCTATAAATACAGCAAACTCCTGTGCATGTTTCATCCATTTCTGCTACCGATTTATGCTGCTGTTTCTGATTATGAACCCGCGACGGATGTCGAAACGTCAGGCGAATAAAAGTATTTTCTCAGCGATCGAATTGTCCCCTTCTCTTTAAAATGATGCATCTTCTGCAGAGTCATTATCCTGGACATGAACACGTACAGTAATCATCTTCCTTTTTGGAGTCATGAAAGTCTTAGAGGACACTTGATCCGAATTCAAATGCTGCAGACCTATCCTGAAGAGCATATTTGAGTCAGACATGCGTGACAAAAGGCATAAAAGTGAAATGGCTTCACGTATCTGGCGTATCTGCTGCGGAGGCGGAAGGCAGAACTGTGGAAGCGGGGGAATCACATGATCCAATCCACGCTACCACAGTGACATTCAGTACCGTCGATAATCGCGCGCCCTCCTAGTCCTCCTACACACTTGCGCATTATTTACTACTGTTCTCTCCTGGGTAATACCAATCAACCCCGCACTCCTCCCCCCCTCCGCACGAAGCCCAACCTAACTTTCTGATAAAAATTCTGTGCCATTTATGCATTTGGATCACGTGCTTCGCTGAAAGTGTGTTGCTACTTCAGGTTTTTAATTTCCTTAGAACTTAATTTCTGTTCGCCGTAGGCATCAGTATATTTCAGGTCTATAGACATAGACCGAAATTTTAGGTGTATATTTGGGCTGAAACACATAAGCCACTGCGTAATATACACATACTGCCAAAGGACCCACTGTATTAGTATATATATTGATGTTGTACCTTACCAAAATGCATGCTTAATAAAATACCCATCTAGGCTACGACTGCCAACTAGGCTAAAAATGTCTACAGGCACACTGCAGCTTGCCACTTACTGGCTTTAGCAAAAGTGTCCTGAAAAATGGCACATGTAACTTTGTTCCGACCTTAA